TAAAAACTAAATTCTGAGTAAAGACTCTAAAGAGTTTAACTCCAAGAGTACATAAGAATGGCAATATCAAATAGGAATTGAGGTTTAAGGACAGAATTAGACTTCCACACTCTAGCCCATCTAAAACGTAGTAAGTCTAACAGAGGTGAAAGAGACTACTGATCATTTCTTAACCCACTGATCATTTCTGTGTGTTGTTACTTCTGAAATAATTTTATGCAGGCTAATTGGTTGTGTGTAAGTTACTTCAGAGATAAGGCAAAAGAGAACAGACTAACATTTTACTTCTGCAGCTGTATATTCAATAGCAGCTGCATACAGATGCATGCTCTTGTGTGTGTTTATAACTGATGCAGGCCACGTTTACACGAGATGCCAACTGTGCAGTCATTATCGCACAGTTATTTAGTACTTGTATGAACAAGTAATAAATGACTGCTCAGTAACCTGAGTTACTGCGCAGTAGTGCTGACAAATGCTTTTTTAGTGATGCTATGGTGCAGTAGCCTAATACTACTGCGCAGTAGCGTTGCATCATTGTTTTTGCCATGTGAGGCTACTTACTGCACAGTAGTATCAGGCTGCTACAGTGTCTTGGGTAGACGTGGCCACAGACACCTAAATATGAAAACTGGTACCTCATTTGAATATGGGGCCTTCAGTTTATGAAATAATGAAAGGATTACATTAATCCATAATACTTTTTTCCATCTTTGACAATTATAATGAGGATAACTTTTGTAATTTTAAATAAAGGACAAATAAAGCAAGTTGTTAATCACATAAATAAAATGTTACTATACATAAAACACTGAGTAGAATGGTAAGTGCCAATCCAAATTGTAATAGCATTTTTATATGGCATATTGTATGTGAAGGGAAAGGCCCATGAGTTGTGTCTTATTTTTTAAGGCACCTCATTGCTGGCAGTTTCTATAATTTCTCTGACATGCTTAGTACTTACCACAATATGCCACAACTTATGTGGCTTTTTTAGGTGACTGGAAGGGATTAAAGAAGTTTTTACTGTAACTATAAGCAGTACTCACGCAAAACATAGAGGGAAAATAAGGAATTATGATATTTGACCCTAATTTGATATGGCATTTGATAAATCTGGTATAATTGACCATGGAATAATCTATGGGAACATCCAGCTCTTCTTTTTGCTTCAGTTTGGGCTCAGAGGCTGCATTCCTTTATGCAGTGGTATAAAGAATGGTGAAAAAATATTCTGGGTAGGAATAAAAAGTGAAAAAGCAAGGTGTGATATAAAATGTGAGATGGGCAAACCTAGATGGCCATACTGACCATGTTGGCTTTTACTAAATGCATGAGTTGGTCATTGTTTTCAGCAACTGGATAAACAGAAGAAAGTATCCAGAACATAATATAAATTCAACAGCCTTAATAATTTGCAGAAAAAAATGAATATTTTTCTTTTACACTTTTAATAGCTTCATATTAGGTTTTTCTTATGTTTTCCTTAGTTTGTCCAGTTACTGCTCCCAATTGGAAAAAAAAAAGAATTTTAACCTTTTGAAATCATGGCAGATCTAAAGCTCAGTTACAGTGAAAGCATGCATTCTTCTTGGGGGAGAAGATGGCAACATCAGAAAGACCTGCAAAGTGCTTTGGGTTCAACATTTCACATAATGAAATTATTCTGGTGATGCCTTAAAAACAAGTTGTAGTGCAGCAGCATCCTGTCACCAGCACTACAGTTAAGAGCCTGTCAGAGCCTTTACTTAATCATCATTGGTCCCTTAGGTTTTCTGTTTAATATTTCAGCTGTTTCAAATTGTGTTTGGATTAAAACTTGGCATACAAGACATGAGCATGGATGGAATTTTCTGTTTTTGTTTAAAAGTTGATTTTATTCTGTTCTGTTCTCTTAGTGGCTAAGTGGTCAACAACTTCAAAACTTTCAATATTTTAGTTACACACCAACGTGTATATTAATAATTTCTTATCTTCTAAATATAATATGTACATACATGCACATGTAGCCAGGAACTAATGAAGAGTGGAACCTGTGTTTCTTCTATGGAAATATTTTGAGACTGCCAAGTTGTGTGTGTTTTTTTATATAAATGTCTGGTTTAGAAGCAACATGCACGTAACTGAAAATCCTATTATCTTTTAGTAGTTTAAAAAAATAAAACTGAATTTGGGGCTGACTGAAAGGTCCATAGGAGATCCAAAATCCAGTTTAGGATTCAAAATGTTCCTAAATTTAGGTCAGTGGTATTTGCACAACCCTGTAGTTCACACTTCTGGAGACCCCAGGGTCTGCCCCTTCATTGTGCCATTCTCAGGGCCAGCTGGCTTCCTTCACCCTCCCACCAAGCTTTAGTATCTATTTTCCATCCCAAGGGAGTCTTCAGGCAAGAGGATGTCCTGTTTGTCCTCTAACCCAAGTAAAACAGCAGGATAGGGGGAAAGGTTTGGGAATTCTTCAGCTCCTGTGACTGTAGCAGAAGAGAAAAAGAGCTCTTTTTTTCTCCCTCTGTCCCAATGGTAGAAGAGAAACTGTACCCTGTCACCTAATGGCACTATATGGATTGAAGTGGCCTATAACGTACAATTGAAGTACACAGGTGTCTGAAGACATTGTTCAGCACGTAATAATCCAACACACCTGGATGCCTAAGAGAATCAGGAAATTCTACACGAGGAATCCAGAAGAAAAGGAGGCCCTTGAACTTAATTTTTTTTGGCAGGGCTGGCATCAAGGGCATCTGAGGAAATCCTCTGAATATTTTCTGGTACAACTTCTGAAAAAGGACTTTGCAGTCTCTAGCTCCTGGATCTGAGCTCCATTTGACATACCATACTATAGCAGATTAGGCAGAGGGACATGCATAGCTCCCCTGGAAGCTTTCCACTCTGTACCTCACCCAACATGCAGCTGTAGCTTAAGGTTGCAGTAGACCCTTTCCTCTTGTTACTTCAATTCAGTTTATTTAGTCCTTGATGGAAATTACTAACTCATAATAGAACTCCTGTAAAATTCCATATTGCATCCACTTAAGTACAGAACTAATTCAGTCTGATTATAGCTATTACAATGAATACCAACCTAGTTTATAATGATTGCTGGCTCATTTCAGTGTTGTTAAACCCCAGGGTAACACCTTGTAAGTACTTTTCATTGATGTCAGTGGTTCATTGAAGTACACAGTATACAGTAGGAACACAGGGCGTTTTTATACGTGCTCTGGGAGTGGGGAAGGGGGTGCTTTGGAAGCGTCTCATGTATCAATGTCCTCGCACTTCAAAATGGCAGCAAGAGCACTTTAACTAAGCTCATTGAATGAGTTTTAATTAAAGTACCCCTGCCGCCATTTTGAAGCACAGCGACGCTGATACATGAGATGGGGAGGCTAAGTGGAGCACATTAATTAGCACACTCCAGCAGACTTGATTAATCAAGTCTGCTCTGACACGCTGTAATTACAGAGCAGCTTCCCCACACGTGTACAGGCACCCATAGGGACAAATTTTAGTTTAGGCCTGCAGCTTAACCGCATTCAATGGAAGTTGAACCTGATGTGACCAAGGCTGAATCTAGTCTGTATAATATAAAGGTCTTTTTTTTAGGATCTCATTATTGCTTGAGGACATCTGACTAGTTAATTGTGTCAAAATGATACTCCTAATAGTATTGGCATAGCTTTAAATAAAATTTATGCACAGTTATATGTGGACACAGTCTTCAGAGTAGTATGCCTAAAGTTAAAGTCATCAAGGGAGATTTTCAAAGGCACAAATGGTAATTAAATACTGGGCTCCTAGTGACTTTGATGGAAGTTAGCAGTCTAATTGCCATTTGTAACTTTGAATCCCTCTTCCTCTTGCCTTCCCAAGTCTTCACTAAGATCCTTAGTAAGTGGCCTGAATTTGAAAAGTAGTAAGCTACCAATCGCTTCCAATGACCTTAATTGGGAGCTGCAGTGATTAGTACTAATGTCTTGCATTCAAAACTTATCTAACTATCCCAACTATGCAGCTGGTCCAATAAAAGATATCACCTTAAGAAATCCTTGCCTCTCAATGAAGATCAGGTCACTTATTTAGATACCAAGATAAGGTGGTAGGAGTCTAAATTCAGGCACATCTCTTTGCAAATCTAGGCTTGTATGTATAATGTACTCACCCCAAACAATCTAGCTTCTGAAGATATATTCCGTAGTCTCACAGGTTACTTTTATAGAAAAATCTTGGTTTTTTGGAGACACGTGGCTTATATTGAAAACACTTTAGCTCTTTTACCTAAGTGTACTTCAGTAACAGCAACAATAGTTTATCATACTATTTTGATGGCAACAAGATAACTAGCAAATAAATGACTGCTCTGTTTCGTAAAGAAGGAAAAAAACACTGAAGAGCTCTATGATCCAGCTGAAAAATATTTAGATGGGAAATTTCACAAAACAAAAATCACTTGCAGGTGGATCTGAGGGTAGTTGTTAGTCTTTCTAGTCCAAATTTTGTAAGTGAGGTCATCTTTCTGGTGCTACCTTAGAAACTGGCCTTATTCTATAAAGGACATTGAATGATAACACTGCGAGTCAGCTGACTGCTGTGTCACAGAGCTGCTGCTTTCTACATTATCGCAACTGCCAGAGCTCTTAGTGCTGCAGTTTTCTAGTCGCAGTGCGGCAAAGCAGACGCATAGAACCAGGCACAAAGCAACATAGATTTTTTTTTTTGGTTTTGCTCTTCTGGCTTTTTATATGAGGACAGTGTACCTGTGTTAGCATAGGAGCAGACATACAGCCTGGACGTGCATGGTGGCTTCTAACTTTGCAGCGTTTTCCAGCTGAGCAGTAATTGCTTGGAGCCTTGTACCCAAATTGCCTCTGATGAAGAACGGCTGGGTTCCCACTTTGTATACTTATAGTTTTGTATGCCACGATGATATAGCTGCAAGAATAAGACAAAGGAGATGGTACTTGTCACTGTCTGTCTGATTGGGGCCTTTGCAGCCACTCCACTGCCGAAGCTGTTTAAATATCCCAGGCTCACATATAATATTGATAATATAGATTGCCGCAGTTTCTTACATCAGTTAGAGCAAAGCTCAAACAAGAAACCAGACTCGCTGACCTAAATCAATCCCAATCTTTCTGGATACGGGGCAGCAGTCGGCTAGCAATGACACAACCAGCCATCAAGTGGAGAGTCTCTGGGATTGCAATCTTTATCAGTTGGAGCCTGTGAGAATGAAACACTCCACTTTTGGTTATCCAATTGCTTCTTCTTTTCTTTTTTTTCGTTCCCGTAAGCAGCTACTAATTGTGCTCGGTCTCTAAGTGTATATTTGTGTGGATTAGTTTGTCTCTAATGCAGTCCTTATCTGCTTTTGCTGGAAATCAGGGCACCAAGTCAGCTTGCTTTAACAGTTGTTTCTTTCTGCGTGATGCTATGCAACTACACTGACAACAAAGGAGCAAGCACAAACCATCACTATTTTCTGGGCTGTTACAGGAACATAATTCTTGTTTGATATGATGCCCTCCTTTTTTCTTTTCTGCCTTTTTTTAATTCATCTAATTGAAGAACCTAACAGACATCATCGTGGATGTGGTTTTTAATGATTTGGAAAAGACAGCCTGTGGAGACTGCGATTTGAGACAGCAACACATTTAGGTTATTGCCAATTTGAAATACTTGGTTTGTGAAGCACAGCCCTAAGGGACAAGCTCAGTATCTGAGCGAGATTGTAGATAAAGAAATAAAAATGACAAGCGTAATGGAGGTTCTGCAAAAGAGACTGTCAGAGAATCAGTTCATGGATGGCAATTTCACCAGTCTGAAACTGAATAATTCATAGAATGAAATTACCCTGCTTTCACCTTTCCATTTAAACCGGCATGATCTGAATCTCTAATAAATTTTCAAGATAAAAGTAAAATGCCAATTTGAATCTGAAGAGCTTTTAAAACCAGATGCTACATCCTGAATCTTTCGATACCTTTCACAATTATCCTGTGAAAACCGCACTTCATCACGAAGCACCATTACCAGTGAAAATTACTGTGATTACAATAGCAACAATAGAATACCATCAAATGATCTCTAATTTACCTAATTTACCAAGGCTGACTGTGTGCCCATCGTGTGTCAGCATGTCTGGCATCGGATCAATATCACACTGGAGCAAAAAATGTCTCAATATATAGCTCATCTTTGTTATCTTTAACTTTGGAAGCCCAGAAAAAATGTACCTGCTCTGTTAAGCATTTTTACAATTGTATGTATTATATGTTTGTTTTAAGGATGTCATTACTAATCCATGTTTTTGTTTAGCTCCCAGTTATTGGAGGGTACTAGTTGTATATATACAATTTGTTTATATTGTTTACTTATGCATAAAGACTGCAGCAAATAAGTATTAGGACAGAGAATCCACAGTACTAAAACAATAGTGATACATCTGTAGATTAATTCAATATGGGTTTTGTGCCTTACTTGAATACTTACCTATTTTTAAGATAGAAATCTTACCTGGCATCGCTGGTCCTGGTTGTATTATGTAACAAGTATTCCGTTTTAAAATGTACTCAATAGCCATAGTAAGAAAACAACTGTGTTTAGCACTAACAGGATTCCCTCCCCCGTGACCCCACACACACCATTCAGTAAATAAACTGTTATTATATATATACATGCTCTGTCAATATGTGCTGATCATTGGAAATCTCTGGCGGAAAGTAACAACTTCTTTTCTAACAAGCTGGGAAACATGATGCTTCGTCAGAATCTGCTCTCATTATGCCATTTTGAGAAGCTGTTCTGGTAACAAATCTTCACTTGGGAAATGCCCAGTGTAGTTGTTTTGTAGCAGGACACAGGACTTCTGAAACAGTAAGTAGCATTTATACAGTAAGCTGGTTCCTACAGCTCAGATACAGGAAAATATTCTAAAGTGCATTTTCAGATTGAGTTCTTTCAGTAGAATAACTACATGGAAGAGTAGGAGAGAGGAACAGAAGGCTAGAAAAAAATCAATCCTTATGGAGACGTTTGTGTCTGGTATTAGTACGTGTTTAAGTTATATGCCTCGATTTTGTTTTTTATTCCATAAGCAGGTCTACTTTGTCTTCAAAGGATATTTTTTTCAAAGGAAATAAGGGGTAAGCAGTACTTCTACTTAATTACATAAGACTGTGTCTTATTTACTGTCTTATTTCATTTGTAGAGAAATGCAGATTTATGTTATATAGTTGTATCTCATGGTATATTTAGTAAGATTTGTACTTAATATCTCCTAGTCAAAATAAATAAAAAAGTACATTGGGTTAAAAATGGATGCCTTTAATACCTTTTTTAAAAAACATTTCTAGGTAAGAAAATATTAAAGATTGTTTATGTATTGAATTCTGAATTGAATAGTGAATTCTGTTTGGGATTTTAAGTTACTGTATCCTTTTAAAAAACAATTCTATGTAAGTCTGAGTTTGCTATATAGAAGTCTAGTCTGTACTGCAACTGTTTGTAGAAATGGCAGAAGGTTTTTCAGCTTGTACTTTGATAACAAAGGATTTGAACAGGAACAAAATATGCTGGAAAGGTTTAGGGTTTTTTATATTCGGTAGCTGTAATTTAGCAAACAGATTTTCCTAGGCAACATTATCTGTAGTTGCTGAACTATCAGGAATTAATTAGTACAACCAGTGATGAATCTGTCTTGTGTACTTCATTTTCAAGTGGTATTCAGGAATTAACAAAGAAAGGTCTTTGTATAGTGCAAAGGCTGCTACTCTTGGTAAAAGTGTGAAAACTATGCTATGTTACTATGGTAATAACAGCAAAGTATTCAAAAATAAATGTTTATAATCATTCTATATTTATATAATTATTATAATATATATTTATTTGACATTGGTATCTATATTTAGGATATAAAATACCATAATAACTAATCCTGCACATAATAGCATGGATGATTCTAAAATGCAATAAAAAATAAGTACTGATAATTTTTTTATTATTATAATACTTCAGTTTTGCATTGATTTGTCGATCACTGCAGTTGTTCACAATGCTTGTATTCACATTTTTATACCAGGCTCATAACAGTGATGATGGTCTGTGGAGATCTGGCTGGTCACATGATGCTAGCTGTCTTAAATTTCCAGCTACAAAATGGCATTCAAGGAGAGCTAAAAATATACTCAATGGCTTGATTTTTTTTTCCTTGAATTTTCAGGGCCTGATCCAAAGTCCTTTGAAGTCCAAACAAATGTGAATCAGACCTTTGAATCATCACACCCTTAATGGGTCACTTGGTTCCTTCTGTAGTTCAAAATCTGTGTCATGCTCCAAAATAAGCAATGTTAGTAATAAAACACATTTTTGATGATGTAATTGCCATAAGGATGTCATGAGGTTGCTAGTAAGAGGGGAGCTGGTCCATGAGGTACACTGTGTTCTAAAATAAGATGCATTCTGTAAAAAAGTTTAAGAACCCCTGTAAATATATTAGGTCTGATGAATGTTTAAAAGCAGGCAGCACTGGAAGGTGCCTATAAATATGCTGCTGATGCAAATACAAGCTAAAATAAAATTTAAACACTAAAAACAACATGACATAACTACTATCATTTATACATCACAAACAGTGTTCAAAACATAACAAACATATATATACAACATAAACAAAACATATATATAGCAATGGCTGTAGTGATCATTTTCTAGGAATTGTGTAAACCGTTAATAAAATAGTTAAACTGGTTCATGGTGGCATTCAAATAATATAATGTAGCCTCTCGTTTTGGCAGCCCTGATATAATAATTATTTTTATGTTATCTTATGTAATAAGGTGATTAGTTCTGGCTTTTGTACTACTTTTGAAATAATATGTTTTTGTGCATTGAACTACCCACCTGAGTAAAATGACTTACACGTGCCTTTGTGTGATCAGGCCACACAGTTACACTTGGGTAGTGATCCTCATTCTCACATGTGTAACAAGCATTACTGGGACCAATTCTACTAACAATAGAAGACAGTGGCAAAACTTCCATTAACACCAGTTGGAGCAGGATTAGGCTGGTTTCCTATAGCATGCTCATATCTGTACTTCTTTTCCACCTTTTTAACTGACCTAAGCCCAGTCCTGCAACTTTTCTCCCTACTTGTTTCTCAAGGAAAGTTTGTAGGTTTGTGTTCAACACAGTGTTAGCTTGTGGTATAACTTGAATGTTGCCCCAATTTCCATTCACACACAGAGATTTCTAGGAATATTACATAGCACAAGTGCAAAGATACCTGCACCTAGCTCTACCCATGCTTATTCCAAAACCAGAAGCGGTATAGCCATGTCTGCAAAGTGATGTGCTAAACATGGTGATGCTGCTTCCAGTTTGGTGCTCACATGCGCAGAGCTAGCTCAGGTATCTCAAAGCAACACTTTCATCTTGTGTAGACATACTTTAGGCTGAGTTGCATCGTACTTTAAATTTGAGCCAACTAGTATGTCCCGGAATGACTTGGTGCTCATATGCTACTGATTCAAATTAGCAATGTAGTAGAGATACACTACAGGCTATAGCTCCAGTTAGTTCAACTCATGAGATGATAATCTAATTATTAATCTAATTACTCTCTTCTGCTTTTGTTGCTTTACAGTATGGCCATTCCTGTTTGAGTGAGGCTAGTTTGAGCTTAGTTAGAGTGAAACAATTTAGGTGGAATAATGCAAGATCTCTTTGCATAGACATACCTACATTTGGTGTGCTTTCAAAAGAAGACCCTTTCTAAAGGGCAGCAGCTGGTCCATCCTACTTGTTATATGTGAACAAGCCGAGAAGGATTCAGATGTAGTAAAACCACTCTAACTTTTATCATGGATAAAGCAATGTTAAAGTTAGAGTGCATTTTGCGATAGCACAAAGAGACTGAAGAGTCTTAAATTAAAAATATAACTCAAGCTTAACTATAGAGACTTTATCACATTGCCATAATATAATAAATAATAGCAATATAATATATTTATTTAGTCTTTATACTCTTTTTCCTTGTTATACTTGTGCTCCATTTCTTAGTCCAGATTTACCCCTTTTAAATGCAATTAATAAGGCAAGTTTTGAGGTCAAGATGGCTGTTTGCTTAGATGTATAAAGTTGTACACAGTGATCTCAATCTTGAGGATGAGTACTTTTAAATAAGCATTTATAAACTTCTGGAGTTAAAGTCTTCTCTCAACTCCACTTCATCTACTGTATTATTTCAATATCTCTTATGCATTTGCATACATTGCTGAAAGGTTTTGTTGAACCTTCAAAAAAAAAAAGCTTCATTAGGGTAGCTTGATTCTGGTATCTATGGAAGCAAATTTGAGTTTTACCATCAGCTTCACTGGAGACTGGATAAATCCAGAGATTTGATTTTTTTTCTTTTAAAGAATAAATATGTTATACCATATATCATGAAAAGTATAGTATTAATATCACAAAGACCAGATTTATACTGAAAAGTTTTGAGGGTTTAAGTATGCCAGCAGACTGAAAATTGCTAAACCCCCTGTTGTAGACACAGATGTATCCGTATAAAATACTTACAATGCTGAAGTTTATGTTGGTTTAAGGAATTGGCATATGCTATATTAATATAAGCACTTCCATATGATATAATAATGTCTATAGCATGACTTTTATCTTCATAGGTATGTCAGCCAAAAAAAGAAAAGAATAATCACGCTGTAATCACCACAACAATGCCAGTAAAACTTAAACATAGACCAATCCTAAGAAACTGGAGAAGTTGTAATTATGCTAGATTAATTAGTAATAAGTAAACAGAGAAGGGGAAAATGCAGCACAAACAAACCAAGAATTTGTAATGGATACACTTACTTTCATATTTGGCCCTTTTTCCATGACATAATTATGAAAGTATTCCTCTCAAACTTACCTATTTCATAATTTGATATAGTCCAAAAATAAAGAATCACTACACCCTCCTGTTATTTCATACTGAGTAAATGAAAACTATTGAGGAAATCTGATAACATTACCCCTTGCATACTACCTCTTGTAAAGGACCGTGTCTGATTAAATTTTTTATGAGTCAAGTTCTGATTTACTCTCCCATGAGAATAGAGAACAGGGGGGATAGGGGCAATCTGAGAGCAAAGACAGGATGTAGTTACCATGTTGCCATCCTGGCTCTGCTAAAATCTGTGGAACTGATATTCAATCGCTTTCCTATGAAGAGTAGTTTAAAAGTGATAGTGAGGATAAATTATCTTGAGTTCGACTGCTGATGCGCTAAACTTTCTATGCTCCTGTCTGCACTCTTCTTTCTTTAGATTCCTCTTATTACTGACAGAAATAATTGGGTGAACAACTATATCAGACACATAGCTGACCAGGTTATTTTGAATTGTGGTAATACCAGGGAGCTAGTGAGGGGTAAGGAATGAAGTGTGATAAGTAGAGTCAGAATTTATCAGAAGACCCTGCCCTGAATTGTTTACTTCCATTTAAAATGGCATTAATTTATGCCCATTTGGATAAGAGGGGACCCAAATAAAGTCAGAATTTGGCTACATATGTTTTTAGCCTATAGCTGAGTGTGCCTAAGAGTGAACAAAGAGAAACTCAAGTATAAATTAATAAAGTCTTCAGACTTTTATTAACTGTAGCAGCTGAACTACTATTAGTATCTAAGGAATGTTCTTATAATGAATTTGTGGTTGCTTATAGTTAGATTTTTCATTTCCATAATTCCCTAACAGGAAAGCAGACAGATGTTTAGTTTATAGTTATATCTGTGTTTATGCATGTACATTAAAAAAAATGCTGTCCAAATGTTCTATGTACTCTACAACATACCATGAAAGTATACAGATGCTCTA